TTTGCATTCTTCAGCAGTCTTCCTGTAATCCCATCCGACCCGAGGCTCTTATTTGCCTTTGATTTTTGTTAAAGACTGACTGAACATCATGGTACAAGGAGCCATTTCTACATAGATGCTGTGATTAACAGATGCGGTCTTTTCATGGAGGAGTCGATTGATCTTTGTTGTTACTGTGGCTGTGTGCATGACACTGTGTGAGCACAGAAGATTGATCCAGGCTATTGTCCTGCTGTAATGAGGTCACCCCCCCTGGAACTATGACACGTCCTGTTGCTCAGAGGCCAGAAAATCATGAGGTTTACAGCTATACTATTGATTTCTTTAGCGTTTGTTGTGACTATCACTATCACGATAACTGCACCGATCAGTGTGTGCACGTGGGCGTCGACACCTGCAGGCAAATTCAGAATCACAGATCTTTCCTTATGACAACTGTTGTCAACACTGATATTACTAGCTCAGTGTAGCCATTAGATCTTCTGTGTGACGACATCAAGTTTTACTGCAGAATTTTCCTCAAAACAAAGTCCAAACTATCCTCTAAGCATTTACATGTATCCTGATTAGAAAACAGCATTCCAGTCACCCAGCAGGGAGAATGAGCTTCCTCCAGCAGTGAGCTCCTGCTCTACTCTGAGCTGACACTTTCCTCTACCTGTTGTATTATCTGGTCAATCAGATGTTATTGAGCCACATAAGAAGCCAAACCTTGATCCCATGCCCTCCCGGCTCCCTTCTTTTCAGCAGCTTTTGACCTAGTGTGAATCAGAGAGGGAGGGATGTCACAGCTTAGATGCCATCAGCGAGGAGGATTTGCAGGTTTTAAGTCTCTGCTCTTTGGCCTTGTCACAGTAGGACTTCCTGAGAGTATGGGGCTGCTCTGTGCCACAAAAGTTAAACCTGCCTGCCACAACAATGCCACATTTAAGGCTTCCAAAGACATTGAACTTAGTTGGAGCGGGTTGATCTCATAGTGAACGGTGGGAAGTCATGCATTGAGAATGAGAGGATGCACAATAGCATGCTGACACAATGACACATAATATCATGGTCTGGAAATGTGACTCAGCGAGGTGACAGTCGTTTTTTTAATCCAACAAGGATCTTTTATTTTTCCCTGGAGGTTTCTTAAAGGAACAGCCGAACTTCCAAACAAATTTCCTGTTTTTGCTTACTTTTTGATTTGGTTGATATCAGTCTCGTGTCTGAGACTCTTACTGCACACGGCATAAAAAACAGCGACAACCCTCAGGGCAACAAAATGAACCCGTTGTTGGAGTGCCAAGTTTTGGGACTTCCAAAAGTCAGTCAGTCCCAATAAAATCCACGTTAACTTGACCTGCTAAACAGCATAAAAAGCATGTTTGAAGTTTCCCTCTTCACACCGTTATTGATGTATGAGACCAGTATTTCATTATTCAACTTGTCTCAGGTCTCTTTTGTCTTTTGTCTTCCTCCCCTCACCCCAACCGCTGTTGCACCTGTGCAGCACATAATACACCTTCTAACTTGGCGCTCCTGCTTATTATATAAATATGGTGTCTTTTGGCTCTTAAAAACACAACAACAGCGACAACATGGCGAATGTTGAAGCCTGAACGTGAATCCTAAAGCCAGTGGGGAACACTGTGGTGGCTGCATTCATCAGTCTGTGGACATGTTCTTCTGTGAGCTCCAGAGGCAGCGTTAGCATTGTGAACGGCCTTTGGGGCCCAGGCCCATCCAAAAGGATGACTGAATTCTACTGACTTACTTTTACAACTATAGGTAAAATTAATCGTTGTACAATAATAATTGTTATTGTAGTAACAACCAAGCCCATATTAATAATTTGGTCAAAAGCAATTTAGAGCATCTACAATGAAATAGTAAAGTTAGTGAGTCTAAAGTTGGTTGCCGGTCTAGTCCATCTTCTGAGGTGCTGACCCTGTTTAGAGGTGCTCGTAGATGTATGTTTGAACTTTGGACAGTAGGGCTGCTCAATTAATTGAATTTTAATCTCGATTACGATCTGGGCTTTCAACGATCATTAAAAATGACTGAGCCGATTATTAGCCCC